ACGTGCGTGTGTGTGTGTGTGTGTGTGTGTGTGTGTGTGTGTGTTTGTAGGAAATGTAATTATTTTGCAACTGGGTGCAGCAATAGAACAATAGGTGGCAGCAGCACCTTTTTTGTTCTAAAATCCTATTTATGATCCTGAAAGTGCACACTAATGATTTACATTTATTTTTTTTACCACTATCTCTAATTATTCAACATTATAATGATAGCAAAATGTCATGTATTTATTTGAATATGGGGGCAATCTACATATTTACACTAGTGAGAATCAAAGAAACATTATTATATTAGTCACAACAACCATGTTGGAATTATGTCCAAAGACGACATCCATCATAAATGTGCTCATCCAGCTGATAACGCCAGGCCAACAGTTTTAAGTAATGCAATTAACTTTATGACACCGGTTTATCTCCTATGCACTCAGCAGGCTGCATGCTACCAATATTCTGATGTTTCAGTGTCTGGTTTGGGGGCCAATGGCCTGTAAATTGGAAAGAAATCATTTTGGCTTGATTTTGTTGCTTTGTGCTTTAAGTTAACAGTCAAGGAGTCTGCACATATTCCGTTTGAAATGTTCTCTCATACAGAACACTGGATCAAAACTGGTCATCTAAAATACATCTTGCCACGTTTTTGAGTTGCATCATGTGAATAGGAACATAACCAAAAGGTTATAAGGTTGTTTTTTTTCAGTTTCATTTTATTGATTCTAAGGTAAAACTAATTAACCTTTGGTGCGTTTTCAAGGAACACAACACACTTTAGATTGAATGATTTTTCCAACGCCATTCAATTAGCCCAAATGAATTCCTGTCTTCAGTAAATTAGCATAGATCATTTAGCATAGATCGTGATCATTTGTCTTACAATTAAGACACTGGGTAACAAGTCATTAATTCTGTTTTGAGGGAAGACCTGGTCAAACAAATTGAAGAAAAAGATATATATATATATATATATATACACAGTCTTAATATCTGCTTTGCCACTGTAAACTGCTCTTTAGCCTGATATAATACAGGTAATGGATATTTTCAAATAAATGTAACATCCTAACATATTTGACATGTCTTTTAAAACACAAATGTAGTTTTGGTTAGAAGCCCCATAATGAAAAGTATATATACTGCCCTGTAATGTTTAAAAAAAAATGTAAATCCATAAAAATTGGGCCCAATGTACTGTATTAAAAATGAGGAATGTTCCATATTGATTTTTTACAGAAAGAAAATTACCAGTACATTTTCCATTTTATAATTTTTTTTTTTAGCAAAGTCTAATTTGGCCTTCTTTGCAATTTGCTCTCATGAAGTCTTCTCTTGATTGTAGACTTCTGTCACTGACTGTAGACAGTGACACACCTACCTCCTGGAGAGTGTTCTTCTCTTGGCTGGATGTCGTGATAGGGTTTTTCTTTACCATGGAGAGGATCCTCCGGTCATCCACTGCTGTTGTCCTCTGTGGACATCCAGGCCTTTTTATGTTGCTGAGCTCACCAGTGCGTTCTTTTTTTCTCAGAATGTACCAAACTGTTAATATGGCCACTCTTAATGTTCCTGCTATCTCTCTAATGGATATGTTTTGTTTCTGATGCCTAACAATTGTCGGTTTCACGTGTATGGAGAGATCCTTTGACTACATGATGTGGTTTCACAGCAACGGCTTTCAAATTCAAATGGCACACTTAGAATCAACTCCAGAACTTCTACCTGCTTAGTTTATGTAGAAATAACGAAAGACTAGCCCACGCCTGTCCATGAAACAGCTTGAGTAAATTGTCCAATTACTTATGATCCCTTGAAAAAGGGGGGAGGTACATATTTAAGAGCTGTAATACCTTAAACTTTTCTCTGATTGTGATGAGAATAACCTCAGAGTGTGCACTTTAAGACGATATTCATTATATAACTGTATCTTGAATATGTTTTGGTCAGCAGCTAAAATAATAAAAATTGTGCCTGTGTCCATATATCTACGGACCTAACTGTATAGATAGATATAAAATGTATATGCAACATACATGCAAAAAGATGCATGTTTATATATTTATAATACTTTTTCAAATACATGATATTATATAAGTAAATATAAAAGATGAAACATGAAATTGTTCCAATTTCTAATAGGTTGCATATATTTTTTACATAACGTACATATAATACATTTGTATATGGGGCTGAAATAAAAGAAATCCAATCACACAGATATTATATTGATTATATGTCTTTCAAAATATTCTGTAAACTAATCATTAATCTCCATGCAAACAGATTTTCCTACATTACTGGCTGGAAGGGGGAGCATCTGGTTTCTTTCTCTCTGTGCCAAGAGCAGTGTGTTCATCTGGATGTTGGTTCAGTAGTCCAGGGCTGTCGCTGAGGCATTCCCAGCAGCCAGTTGGGCTTGTACAGCATGAGCCCAAACGGGCAGCACCAACAGCGCCCTGGCACTGCTCCCGGGCATGTCAGCCCACTGTTTCACCAGCCCTCACACTGGCTTTTCACTGCACCACGGCCCTCAAACACCTGTCAAAAGAGTGGAAAGAGTCAAGCAGCAGGTAAAACTCCACCAGGAGCAATTTAAAAGTCAATTCAGAGCAGTAGCCTTGTCCCGGATTCAGTTCTTTTCAGGATTCAGTCCCATCAGAATGAAAGGGATTCTGATTTTGGGTCAGACTCTCAGCGGTCAACATATACAGTAGAGACTAAGGCCAGACCTAGAAGCCCTTCAGGTATGAAATTACTATTATTGGCATCACAAATTAGGTTAACTACTAAATTGTGATTACCTACAGCTGGCAAATGATCTGAAATGATCTTTACAATCGAAATGCTTTAAAATGAAAATTAAATTTCCAACTTAAACTGTGCTTTTAAAATGCTTTGGAGCACAGACTTAAGTTTGGCCTCTTTTTAAAGAAGACACTTGACAGATTATAGATTATTGGCCACGAGGAGTACAAGTGAGACAATCACTTTTCAGGGCCAATTAGCCTTTTCGAATCATGTCCATGATTTGTGTGTGTGTGGGTTCACATAGCCAGTGGCAAAACTTTTACACCATTCTGATGAAGTAAAATTGTAATCATACAAGTCTGTTGCTATGCTGGGCTGATCTGGATACTGAAAGCACCACAGTTGGAAAGGAATTTGGGAAAAAGTATGAATGACTTTGCATAAAATGACATAACCTTTTAAAAAAACTTTTCTTAAGAGTAGTAAAAAGTCCCTTACGAATCACTTCTGTTCTCATTGTCTAATGAATAAGATTTAATAGGTGGTGCTAAGCAGCAGACTCTTATTAGCGCATTACACATAATTGCACAAACCTGGATGCCAATCAACACTTGTGGATATGATTGAAGAAATCACATGATGCAGATTTTTCTTTTTATTGCTATTTATTTCATTCCCTTTTTCCAGAATTCAAAGATTTACTCCCACAGTGTATTATATAAGCCCACACAAAAAATGACAAATATAATAGTGTAAAACCAAACAAAAAATATTTATGACCAAATACAATATCATACACCCATTTATAGTAAACTAACTAAATACCCAACACTCCGCACAGATTTGTATGCGAACAAAAACACCAAATGCACTGATTCATGCCTTGAATGAACAAAGAAAAATGAATAAGTTTTATTGAAGGTCACCATCTTTTCACTTTGGAGTCTTCTTTCACCCTCCAAAGCATGAGCTCCATGCATGCCGTGGCATCCTCGCGTGTGTCATGACCCACCACTGTGGCAAATGAAAAATGTTTTGTTCGTTTTCTTATTGAGAAACAAGCATGAGTTTAGTGTATGCAAGTCATGGTGGTAGGTGTGCTCAATAGACCTGTTTCCCTTCACTACTGACTCAGTTACTCAGACAGCAATTTCATGGAAGAGTTAAATGCATCTGAACGGTCCCTGTGTACATTGCCCCACCTTACCTCTGAGTGTATGGAAAATGTGCCATGAAAAGAAGAAAAAAAACAAAAAAAAACAACATACACCCAGAGTCCAGTTAAAAGCTACAGCTTCTGATTCAGTGAAGTTTGTTCATGGTCATTTCTTACGAATGCGATTAACAGGCTAACATACCGCTCTCTTGGATAATTCTCCGGAGATAGTCTGCAGTCAGACTGTTAAGTTCTCTTTTGTGTGGCAGACCCAGACGATGAGGAAACACCACAGAGGTGTCAATCACAGTGCTGTGAATAATCTAAAGATGGCAGAACAACCAAAATGCAATTCTTAAGTGCTTCTAATCAAAACCACAAACTTGAGTCGAAAAGCCAATGCCAAGTTGAAAAGGTTTACATCGGAACCCCAGCTACAAATTGCTCAAAAACCTTGAGCATTCCACTAGAACTCACTTTGAGAGCAGTTAAGTCATTCTCCAAGCCATGGCCAATCAGAATCGTGTCTGCATTAATAAAGCTCAAAAGCGCTGCTTGTACATCACGCAAAGATGAGTTGGTACCCTTCACGTCATCCTCGCTGATGCCCGAGAACCTGAGCAGGATAAAAAAGTTGAGATTCACAACATATAATTACAGTTCGCTCTTCTGAAATGGATTCAAATATTCAATTAAAACAATCCCACCTGGTATTATAGTCAATGACATCCTTATCAGGCTTGACAAAGGAGTCAAAGATAACTTGCAAACTGCTGTTGACCACAGTCACTCTTGCTAGTTCCAGACCTTGAGTCGTGTAACACTGGCCAAACACAAATTTAAATGAATAAAATCACATTAATATTCTTTTTAATCCTAATTGTTTAATCTAAGCCTTACTATTTGTGTGTCAACAGCAAAGACTCCTGGACATGCTTTGGCCACTGATGATTGAGGACTGTTCACAAAGCCCTGAAGACTTATTGCATCATGGACATGAAGCTGTAAACATGTACATTAGAACATACAGTGAACGTTTCAACTATAGTGACTGAAAATGGAATATTAGGTTATTGGCTTGGTAAAAAGCTACAATATCACAATTGAAAACCCAGTTCAAGGAGAAATCATGGCATAAAGGAGTGGAGACAAAGCAGGTGAAATGTTTTCACCCCCTCTGACAAAGCCTGAGTGTATAATTCCAACACAAATCAAAATACATTGAACACTTGGCATCCAGGTGACCCAACTGCATTCTCACAACAACTGTAGCGCGTCTCAACACCTCCCGGCACTGTGAGAGAACACATACAGAGTAGACAATGGATAATGCTAGAAATAAAAATTTCATTTTTGAAGACATTCTAAGCCTTTCTTACCTCGATTCTCTAGGACTTTTCCATAATGGTAGTTACACTCCTCTCTGCGGGTGTGCTTTCCACTTTTGTCAACAGAAAACGTTGCTCCACATCGACAGCAGATTCTCTTCAAAGCTGTAACCAGAGAACTCCTAATCATTTAAAAGGCTTCAAACCCTAATAGATTCAATTATATTCAAGTTAAACATTGTTTTGCCTTGATTTTAACAGTGAAATAAAATCACATGGTGACTTGAAAGCCACAACTCAAACATGATCGAGTATGAACCACTACACTCACGGTCACTTATGCCCTTCTTGGTATCTCCATACTGGATGGCAAAATCAGCTTTATCCTTGTTTTTACGAGGGAAGTTGTTTACTCGCAACATGTCCTCAGATAGAACGTGTTCCTTCAGTTGCTCATAAAGTGTCAAATCACCTGCATCAGTAAAACAAGACACTTAAATTCATTAAATAAATTAATAACTCTAAAATAAAGATGACATGAAAAGATGGTAAGAAAAAAACAAACAAATAGGGCACATATAATTAATAGCAATAGATTGATAGCATGGATGCATTTAATTGATCAAAAGTGACAGTAAAGACTTATAAACTCGATTAAATTCTGTTCTTTTAAACTTTTTGTTCATCAAAGAACCCTGAAAGAAAAATGTATTTAGTTGTGGAAACCATGTTTTAACATTCACAATAACAAGAAATGCTACCGGAGCAGCAAATCGACATATTGAAATGATTTCTGAAGCATCATGTGACACTTGAGACTGGAGTAGTAGCTGCAAAACCCAGCTCTGCCATCACAGGAATAAAATTACACTATAAAATGTATTTAAATAGAAAATGGTTATTTGAAATTGTTATATTTCACAATATTACTCTTTTTACTGCGTTTTTGATCAAATAAATGCAGCCTTGAGCACAAGACATTTCTTTAAATAAATAAATAAACTAAATAAATAGCCACATTTTTGAATAGTAGTGTACACATGTATATAGTCCCAATGTGTGTCGGTATACAAATAAATAAAATTACACACACCGAGAGAGCAACTCCCTAAAGCACCTTAGCAGGGGTTAAGAAAAATGTTTTTTTTTATATCAATTTTTAATTACTACTACATATAAACAGCACAATATGAAAACAGAGTACAGCCTACTGTGCATTTTAATAAACTCCATCCAAAAAAAGATTTATAGCGACACAGGTAAGCACTCTAGTTTCACCCTGAAATGAGAGCCAGCTCTTACCGGGTCCCTGAAGTGCTTGAGTATTTAGTGGTACATTGCCTCTAGACACATGCTGATCTCTCTCACTGGGAGCTGTAAGTACATATAAGGAGGGTGACCTGATAGGAGTGTACAGTGCAGTAAACAAAAGTGGCTGCAGTAATTTGAACAAAAGCACATGCATAAATATAACAAACATACCTTTGGCAGGCAAGATGTTTTGGTTTTTAAGTCTCTTGAGTGCATTGACAGCTATGCTTAGATACTTGAGCTTATTGATACTGCGGTCATAAACATTTTTTTCTTCTGCCAGAGCCTAGAGCATTGAAATAGATGTATTAGAAAAACACACATCAGGGCTTTAAATAATGCATTATTCTCTTACACACAGACCTTCTCAAACGCATCTTGCACTGTCACAGATGATTTCAGGAACTCCTCCACAAAGAGGTTCACGTAGCGTTGACGAACATCATGTGGCACCTTTACCCCAACCTCTTGGCGTACTTTTGCTTTTCGTTTGACACCCATAGCCTATACAATGCACAAAAATATCCATATCTTTCTCAACACCACAAAACAAAGAAATTACTACCAAATCCATGTTACAATATACAAAACCTGGCTTGTAGAAAAGGGTCTCAAGAGAAAACAACACTGACAGATTAGTAGAGCGAGGTAAACCTTAGCTGGTGTGTAGTTGGCTGGTTGTGGAGGATGTAGAGTTTGTGAAAGCTGAACAGATGGAGGAGGCTGAGGTGGCCGTTGGATGGGGATTGTGGTAGGAATCAGTGTCAGAGGTAAAGAACAATTTCCTTCAGGTACGATGAAGTGCAAGTTCGTCCCCAGCTGTACAGTAGCAGCAACCGGAAAAATACCAACACAGGCTTAAAAAAAAAATAAAAATAAAAAACAGAAATAAATGACAATTCCCTAAATTAAGACTAACTGATCTGATAAGATAAGGAACTATATATGATGCTTACAGTTTTGCACTGTAGTTGAATGAATGACATTGGGTGTATAAACCTTCTTTGGAGCACTGCTTATGGCCTGGGGCTGACACCCTTTCACAGCAGCAGTCAAAATAGCTGCTCTTCTTTGGCATAACTGATTTCTGGAGGGAAAGGTCAACTGGGAGCCTCCTTCTCGTAGAGGGACAATAATCTGTGCTTTGCTTTTACTGGCTGGCTGTTGAATAAAGGTGAAGTCAGAAACAGCTTTGTTATACTCAGAAATAAAATTCTGTCAGTATTTGTTCAACCAAAAAAAATAAAAAATAAACAACACATCATACTGTTTTGGAACCACTTTTGAGAGCAAATAAATACTGACAGAATATTAATGTTGAAAAAAACATGTCCTTCATTTTTTTAAGAAAAAAAAGAATAATTTACTTTTAATATTACAACACAGAGAATGAATCATCTCATACCTCAAACTTTGCCACATGTGCCACCCTTTTCTTCAACACAGCGACTGAATTAGACTTCTCAGTTTCCTGGGCCTCTAATAGTTCTTCCTGAAAATATGAGGTGCGTACATTACCGCTCAAATTTGGGGTCAGTGTAAAAAAAAAAAATTTTTATTAATACCTATATTTAGCAAGAATACAGTCAATTGACTAAAATGGCAATAAAGACACTTATTATAAGCCCAATTCAAACTGCACCCACAGCTAACTGACTACATTACGCCACTTCCACGACCCAACAAACACCGATTCAACTTGATCAATCCGTAAAAACCAGTGCCGATCAATATAAAGCAATATTAAATTAAGCAACATTTATTCTAATAAGAAATGCTTCTTGAGCACCAAATCAGTATATTATTTCTGAATGTATTCAAATAGAAGAGCTAATTTGTAATTATATTTCACAAAATTACTATTTTTACAACATTTCTGCTCAAACAAACAAATTAATAAATAACTCCAAACTTTTGAATGGTAGTGTAGCCACACAACATAAGACCTAAATAAGAGAAAATTACATAATATATGAATACTTACAGGTGGATCAAACTGAACCACAGGACCTTCATTTTGGTTGGCTTCCATGAAGATTCTGTAGCACTCTTCCATTGGGTCAGATTCTGAAAGATCTAAGTCCGAGTACCTAAGCTCCTCATCAGAACTGGAGTCAATCACAATGGCTTCCTTATTACTTCCTGCAGATGCAAAGGTCTGTGAAGGAACAGGTATGGCACAGGGAACAGGGAATGATGCAATTGATGTTGATAATTTTTGCGCCACAGTTGCTCTTAGGTTTAGTTGACTAATTGTTGGTGCAAAAACAGTTCCGGTGTCAATCCCTGAAACATATGCGGGCATATTCTGAACAAATGGTTCAATAGGACTTTTTGGAATAGTTGGCCAAGATGTTTTAGCCAGGTTTTGAGAGTGTGGACCACATCTGTGCTCTTCTACCTTAGGTAAGGATGAAGGAAAGGACTGAGATGAGACCATGGCAAAGTACTGCTGAAGTGCTTGCTCTTGCGAAATCTTGATAGAAGGAATAACTTCTGACTTTTGAGTATAACTTGAGATATCAATTTGCGGTTCTGCCTCAGAAGTTGCATCTTGTACATCAAACGCAGGAGACTGTGAGGAAATATATTCATCTCCATAAACATAACTGACAGGAAGCATCTTAACATCTTGACTGCATTTGATCCGCTCACTCTCACTTCTCAGATTGTCTAGACATGTCGAAATGTCATGCAGGACGTTTTCCATGTTGTGAGCTTTTTCCTCTTTTTGTATAACAAATGCTTCCATATTGAGATTTGTAGAGTTAACTGCTTCAGACACAGGTACTTCTGTTAGATCCTCCAGAAAAGGCTTGGTTTCTTTTACGGAGTGCTTTCCAGTCATTACCCGTTTATTTAAGGGCCCTTCATTAGCCTCTTTACCATCTTCAGCTGGGGCATCGCTAATAGGGCATAATGTGGGTAGTTCCTTGGTTGTAGTTCCACACTGCTTTGAGAGCTTATGTCCATCTTCAAGAGGTGACACATCAATGACAAGTTCCCCTTCAGAAGACTCTTGTTCTTGTGGAATCATCACAGGTTTCGCTGAGGTCCTTTTATTCTCTTGGTCACCCTGTCTATTTTTAATTTCATGACTTTGAAGTCCATCAGAAGACAACTTTTCCTTGTGCTGCCTGGGTTTTGTTTGGTCATTTGCAAGAAGATCATTATTAACAGCACAATTCCCCTCATGTAAATGTGGAGTACTCTTGCCTTTCTGTTTGGTCCTGCATTTTACCTGATCTTTTGCTGAAGGTGGAATGTCAATGACCAAGGTACCTTCATCGTCAGAGTCATCAAAATGACAGGAAAGAGGCTGAACATTTTTTCCTGTTCGGTTATTCTTCAGGCTATGTTCAGTATCCGCTTTATCAGTTGACTTTAGCTTACAGTCTACTGAGCAGCTAGATAATAAGTCTGCTGAAAAATTGGAACAAGGGTCATATTCCAAATCAGTCTTGGGTCTGGCACGATCAACCACATACTTAAGACCGCTGGTTGTGGAAGCAGGTTTTTTGTATCTCAAATGGTTTCCATTCTGGTCTTTAGCCTTACTGTTGGTGGTTCTCAAATATTTCTCAGAGCAAAGACCTGCATCTGTCTGCACAAGGGACTGCGATGTCTGATAGCGAGACAGTCTTTTTTGTTCTTTCTCCACCTCACACTTTACTGCCTCTATTTCTTTGTTGATCCTCTCCAATTCCTCAAGGCAAGCATAACTGTCCTCATTGGTGTGAGAGGCTCCATTGGCAGAAGTGACTTCAGGATCTCCAAGTTCTAAATGTGAAGCAGAGAAACAGTTTTCCAACCAAACAAACAAACAAACAAAAAAATCCCCAAAACAAGGGGACAATGCTCTAAAGGGCACAATTCTTATACAGCTGTTTTTGCCCCTATTAGCTATTTGTCACTCACATGTGCTGGACAATTACTTTTTAGAATATTTAGGTAAGAGTGGGAAAACTAGAGAAATAGCTAATTTAATCAAAATGTCAGCGAAAACTGAGGTAATGTATTGACATAAAACACTTTTTGGAAATATGCACGTAGCTTAGTAGAAGGTGTAGTAAAATCTAGTAATCCAACTCATATCAGTGAATCGGTTCTTTCGAATTAAGAATCAGTCAATTATTCAGCAGTTCTTTGACGTGATGGCTCAGTTACATTACCATGTGGCATAGCTATTAAATGACTTACAACTATTACAACTCAAATAGTTATTAAAGCCCAACTTTGATTTTTGCACATTTCTTCTACCCTGCTGCTATTAACTTCCGCCCATTAGTCAAAACCTTTTTTTTCCCGAAACGATGCTGCTATTCTTTCAGACGCTGTCATCCAGTTCAATTGAAAGATGCCCTTGAAAATGACTGAAATGCGTGTAGTTTCCTAACCTTAATGTAAAATAACAATGAATGATGATTTTTATTTACCTGTCGTAGTCACGCCAGACGTATTGTCTTTGCCGTGATTATACAAACAATAAGGTCGATTGCATCGTCCCCATCGAAGAAAGGGACAATCAATTTCATGGAAGAGGGCTGTGGAAGGAAACATAAGAGCTGCCAGCACACGAAATACCGAGTTATTCTGTGCACTGTTGATTGTCAATATAACGCATTTTCTCTATCTCTTGTGAGGTTCAACATCTAATGATAACATTTTTCAAAAGTCTTTTAAGATGTATAACAGAACAAAGTCAGTTTGAGGAAGAGGTTATCTGCTCTCATCAAAAGTATGTAGGCTTAGCGCTTGTGATATTGGTAAGGACTTTGGCTACGTCACCAGCTGGTAGTGTTTTAATTAATCCATCATCCCCAGGTGTGGCTGATTGGTTTTTGTAGCGATGTATGATTCGTGAATGAACCGTTCTTTTGAGCCGAATCTTTTCAATGAATCGCTCGAGTTCAAAACTCACTGAAAAGCGGCTCATAATTCACATTTGAGCTGTGATTGTATGCCATTTTTTATCTAAAAACAAAATTCAAAACACAACCATTAAAATAGGCTATTACTTTCCATCCTTTTAAAATAACACATAAAATGAAAAGTGCATATAACAAAACCATAGCAAAATAAAACTAGATTTTGATGTTTTCTGTGGAAAATAAAACCACAATGGAAGGATGTTGTGTCAGACTGACTCAGATACTCTCCTCATATGCTCATGACAATAGAGTTGTATAAAGAGTAGCCTAATATGTATAAAATATAAGAGGAAAGGTAGAAGGAGAGTTCCTTTCATACCCACTATTTTTTAAACTTTACTTTTAAGGGAGGGATAAAGCAGCAAGGGAGACGCATGGCACACTGCTCTTGATGTCTCTTTTTATTTCGTCTTAACAGGAGTACGAAGGCCGCTGGCCTCTTTGACAGGCTAGCTGCCACGTTGCTGTCTTTTGTTTACATTTTTAATTTCTGTAAATCTATGATGTTATTACATTGTGCTCTAAAGGGACTGTTGGTCTCACAGATAGCCAGCAGCTGAATTCACTTTGGCTGGCAAAGCGAGCAATTAGACCCGGGATTAAAAAGGATTGAGTTTAGAGGCCCGAGGAGAGTTTGCCTGCCATCTCGAGACACTCCATTACCATCAAGAACACAAGCCATGCCGAGTTACCGCTTGAGGGTAGAGGCAGAAAAAAAGCCACTCGGCGCTGCCAGGAAATACATTTGTATCTGAAGAGGTTGATTTTGACATCAGCATTGTGGAGGCAATAGAACCAGTGGGACCATGGCCTGATCAAACCCTGATTTTGGGACAGAGACCAGATGGAATTCATTAAGCGAAGACGGGCGGCAGCCTGCTTTTCACTGAGTTATTCAAAGAAATTGATCTCTATTCGATAGCATCATTCAATAGTTGCTAAGAATAATTATTCACTCAAATTCATTACCACAGGTCAATTGAGTTCCTCTTCTCTTATTTCTGAAGCAGACTTTTTCTTTTCGAAAGCATTTAGCCTTGGGAGCTGTACATTTGCACACACAAAACAATACCTGTAATATTATATTTTTCATTTGCCATACCTTAAAGTTTAAAAATAAAGGTTTTAAACGGACAATTCACCAAAATAAAAAAGATAAACTTCTGTCATAATTTGCTCACGCTCATGTCATTCCAAAAATATGACTTTCCTTTGTCAGTAGAACACAAGTATTTTTTGTCCACACCATGAAGTCCAGTGGGGAAGGCAATGGGGTCCAATGTCAGGCTCGGAATTAATTTTTTTTGGGTGAACTATCCCTTTAATATTTTTCATTTGCCATACCTTAAAGTTTAAAAATAAAGGTTTTAAACAGATAATTCACCAAAATAAAAAAGATAAACTTGCTCACGCTCATGTCATTCCAAAAATATGACTTTCCTTTGTCAGTAGAACACAAGTATTTTTTGTCCACACCATGAAGTCCAGTGGGGAAGGCAATGGGGTCCAATGTCAGGCTCGGAATTAATTTTTTTTGGGTGAACTATCCCTTTAAGGTACTGTAAATATAATATTTATTCTGCAACAGTAGAACACCCCATAGAATGATACTGTAATTTGCAGATGTGGCCACAGGGATTACAAAAGGCTTATCGCAACAGAACTGAAATCACTTTAGTTACAGTTGAAAGGACTGCCGGTCTAGTCTAAGTGTGCCAACCGAAGTTTGTATTACTCCCTTGCACACTTCCAGGCTTGTCCCATTAGTTTGTCACTCATAGGATCGTTTTGCAGCAACTGAGCTCACAGCCCTGAAGGAAATGCCTTACGTACTCATCAGTCACTAGAGAGACGGCGAGGCAGCCAGCCGAGCACATGCACATGTGAGTGTAGATGTAAGAGAGGCAAATAGCACAAATGCAGCAGGGAGAGACCAGCAAAACTACAAGGAACTGTTGCTTTATAGGTGGACTAAGGCTACATTTATTTTAAATGGGGCCCAAATAGAGTAGCATGTCATTGTTCAGTTGGTTACTCTTTTTTTATTTGAATGCTAACATTATCTCAGCATGCATGGCTGTGAATGCCTTCTGATTCCAGATCAAATGTGGCTTTATTTTTTGCCCTTTTAATTTGTTCAAAAATACACTGCAGTTCACAATTAAAAATCAATTTTGATTGTTTTTCCCATGGCTATACAACTGTTCAGCATAATAAAGAAAACAATCCAAAAAAGAATAACATTGTTTAAAACAAAGCCTATTCATTTGTTTCGTGCAATTCTATATTACTTTTTTTTTTTTTTACAGTAACAAAACTGCTTCACTTTTTACTATTTAAAAAACATTTATCTGCAAAATCAGTCATGTGAAAAAAAAAATCTGTTTCAAATAAACGCTGTTCTTTTAAATTTTATATTCATCAAAGAAAATGTATCATGTTTCTACACAAATATTAAGCAACACAACTCAACACTGATGATAATAATATGAATTCTTGAGCAGCCAGTCAGTAGCTATACTGTATATTAGAATGATTTCTGAGGGATCATGTGACACTGAAAACTGGAGTAATGGCTGCAGAAAATTCAGCTTTGCATCGCAGGAATATATACAATTTTGTATTCAAATAGAAAATACTTTTAAATTGTAATAATATTTCACAATTTTGACTTATGATCAAATAAACACACTTCTTTAAAAACCATTTAAAAACTTACAAACCACAAACTTCTGTACAGTACTGCATATATGCAACTTTTAAGCATGATAGGAGATTCCAGTGAGACCTTGGGTGCTGCATGTTTTTACAACAAGTCCAATTTTTCTAAATGTTAAATGCGTATGTAATCACTGTTTAGGCTGCAACATGATATCATAAACTGAATAAGGTTTCCTCCAGACAAACCACAGTTCTGGGCTCTGCGGGTACAGTCCAGACACTCAGATCTAACGTATCTCCGTTTACACAGAAGGGCCAAGAGCTTTTATTCGTGATTGATGGAGAGGGCGGCCCTCAGGTCTTTGGAGTTCATCAGTATTCACAAAGCATTCCAGTCTGAGTCATAAGACAGAAGCGCAAGGCATAATGACTAGAAAGCTTGTGCACAGGAGGCAGGACGTGTCTGTACGCAGACACACACAGCTTGCAGAACAAAAGTGATGAGACGAGGTCGCGTGAACTTGGGATTTATTGAAACAGAACAATGCTGGGTTACAACATGGCAGCGTTCAGCGTGGCTTATTCTCTTAAGAGTGTGTAAATCAGTTGTGGTACAACATCAGGACAGGAATGAACAGGACTGGAATCGCAGTCAGCATATTCTGGATCTGTAAGGGGCAGGCCAACACCACACACTATTGTAGGCTGAGACAAAGAGCAGTGGCATGCCGAGGAGCGTATTTACATAATGGACAAAGATCTCTCCAGCTCTGCAGGTCCATCTAGTGTCAGCCTGAGAGAACAGCAACTACTGGAAAACACTCTCCTGTTTGAGCTCATTTAAATTCATGTAATGGAGCTATGATGTAAGATCAGCAATATCATTTGCTGACTTGCAGAGAATGTAATTGTAAAAATAACTCTGTTCTGGTGATTTGGAACAAACAACCCAAGACTAAACAAAGGTTTAGTCTTTTCACAGGGAAACATTTATCACAACAGTATACTACAGTAATGTTAGTAGTTTACACAGCATCTGTGTACAGTCTATTTCCATTTAAAAATACATGAATATAAACAATATACTGTTGAAAAGATCAAAGGAAATGGACATGGAATGGAATCTTCCATAGAGTTCCAGATTTCATATATCTTTTATCAAGATATGTAAAATTTGTGACCAGGATAACGATCTCAGGATGAATAGCCTGTTAAAAAAACAAAAAACAAAACTAAATTACACTAAATGTTTTTCCAACAAGAGTTTATATATCTTTTCAGAATGTTTTTGTGTGTGTTTGAACTGTGTTTTTACTGTATCAAGAAAAGATACTGTATCAAAGAAAAATCAACAAGCATTCATGTTCAGTCATGTAAACACTTTTAGCTTTTCACTTCTTTTTTTGATAAAGAAAATGTTCAATGAAAAATATGGTAATGTTAAAAGAACTGTATAATAATTTTTATAATATATTACTGTATAAAGAAAAAATGACTGCATTGTATTCTAATGAATTTATTTTATGGGATCAGTGCAAACGTTTGCAGGAAAGTAAAAATCAAACAGCAATGTTTTCCACCGAATGCTATTATTTTCCAACAAAAGTGTTTATATATTATAGCTTTTAAGAATAAAAAGAAATTGTAAAGAAACTGTTCAATGGGGGGGAAACGCAAAAATATAATAATTCTAGGTTTTAAAAAAATATTTTTATGCATTTTATATTACGGTGTATACATTATATATTTCTATATTAAGAAAATTTTGTTTTTCCTAATCTACTTATTTTATGAGATCAGTGTAAATGTTTGCTGGCAAGTAAAAATCAAATAAAAAAACGTAAAAATTCATCAGTGGCCCGTGTGGACCAACAGAAATATTTTATTGTTGGGTCCCGTACAAGGAACAGATTTCAGGTCAAAGTGTGTAAAAGTTAATAATCATTTAATTTCCTTTTCTTTAAATACAATTTCACCAACTTTGCAAGATAATACAGAAGCGGTTATCTCACCTATCATAATTATCAAATGCCATCAGTCATTAAAATCCTTTAAAACCAGATGAAACACAATAAAAAGTAATCAAATCTTGTAAGACTCAATCTTTCTATCATATCTTTCTAATAAGCCTCGGCTTATAGCTTCCCATGGAACGGCCTTCCATCACTGTACAGTGGAGAAAACTTTCAGA